GTTCTCGATAAGGACATCGTCTACCTCATCATCCCAGGTAGGGAACATTTCCTCCCGTTCCTTGACACAAAGTTGTTGAAGCTAACCTGCAAACAATTAAAATATATATGTTACAGAGGTCTACGCAAAGAATTATACTCGAGAGAAGTCTAATCGAGGCGAGGAGAAGTCTACTCGAGACATGGAGAAGTCTACTCGAGACGAGGAGAAGTCTACTCGAGACGAGGAGAAGTCTACTCGAGACTAGGATAAGTCTACTCGAGACGAGGAGAAGTCTACTCGAGACGAGGAGAAGTCTACTCGAGACGAGGAGAAGTCTACTCGAGACGAGGAGAAGTCTACTCGAGACGAGGAGAAGTCTACTCGATAAGCAAATATAGTTTAGGATTACCTGTTTCAGCATAGCTTCTTTGATGTATTTTCGTCCTCGGCAACCGTTGAAAGCCAGCACCGGTGGAGTTGGGTTGTCAGGAAGGGGATTTCCGTAATGCCTCCCAAAATCTGGCATAGCATAATACGCCCAAACTTGAAGCACTTCGGCAAACCCGTAGAGAATAACAGTCTTCGTCAAATCAGCTCTTTTGACAGACTCTATGAGGGTCATGAAAGCCACTCTTCCCCACGGGTAATTTGCAAATGCCTCGACATCCATGACTAGCCTGGCATAGTTCAACCGTGTGGGTGAATCCATCTTCCATGCCTCAATAAATCCAGCAAAGATGGATAAATATCCTAGCCTAAGCTTCTCATCCCTTGTCCACTCCCCAGCACGCTTACATGCTTCAGTAGGTTCATCAACGGTGGGGCCAACATCTATACTAATGTCTAGCTTCTCCCAGAAACATTTCATCTCAGGAGTAACTTCTGCTTCCTCCAGTTCCTCAACATCCTCGCAGTTGAGACTGGTGAGTTGTTCAAACTCATTGAGTGAAAACCGCAGTGGGGTTGCATTTATGAGACTCCATATCTCATACTTCTTCTTGCAGTCCAGCTGAAAACCGAGTATAAACTGCACCACCCTCGACGCCCAGCCAAAATTCAGTTTGTAAAACTTTAGAAAAACATCAAGCCTTGATTCCAAAATCTCTTCCCATATATCTGCTTCCAGTACTGCTTCCAATGCAGGAAACAACTTCCTACTGTTGCTATAGTAGGCTACACTTTTCCCAGGTTGGGGCTCCTCGTCCTTTGTGAATAATCTCCTTGGAAACTTGGGCTGCTTCTCCATCCTGCAAAACCAAAGATGACATAAATATGCAAGAAATATATAATTATTAGCAAATGGCAGAAGTCTAGTTCAGAAAGGAGTCTACTTTTCTCCGAGAAGTCTACTCGCGATAAAGTCTACTCGAGAAGAAGTCTACTCGAAAGAGAAGTCTACTCGAGAAGAAGTCTACTCGAAAGAGAAGTCTACTCAAGAAGAAGTCTACTCGAAAGCGAAGTCTACTCGAAAGAGAAATCTACTCGAAAGCAAAGTCTACTGATACGAATTCTAAAATAAATCACTAGTTACATAAATTACCTTTGCGAACACTGAAATTCGGCAGAGACAACCAACAGCGTCGTCGACATCTGTAAATCCAAACAAAAAATTTCCAAATTAGCGGCGGCGATGATATCTAGGGCAAAAAATTGAATCTAACAGATGCCGGACAAAGAGAAATGAGGACAGAATTACCAGCAGTAACGAGGCGACGAGGCGACAAGGCAACAGAGGCGGCGATGAAAAAAGATAAATGAAATCGATTAAGGTCTATATACAAATAAAGAGATATACAGAAGTAGGAGATCTGAGAGAGGAGAACAGAGATTACCTTCGTTGACAATTTACAAACGGTGGTGATGAGTTGAAGCAGCGGCGGCGACGACGGTATGAACGGCGACAGAAATGGCGAAAGAAATCGCCCAAACGCTGGTTACGAGTCGAGAGAAACTAGGGTTTGTGGAATGGGTTACTTTCTGGTAAAAATAAATATATAGGCCGGTTAAAAATAGGTTAGTAAGATTATTCGGTTCAGTGATTGTTTTTATTTTACTCGGACATAACCGGTCAAAGAAGTCTACTTTTGATTCTAATTCGGTAAGAGAAGTCTACTAGATAGAAGTCTACTTTGGTCCGAGACGTCTACTCGAGAGAAGTCTACTTCGGTCCGAGAAGTCTACTTAACTCTAAACCCTAAATCAATTTTTTTTAATTAAAACTTATATGAAAACATTAAGAAAACAAAAGCAACCTCTTCTATCTATTAACGACCACTTGGGAATCGCTAGCTCGCATACGCTAGTTCGTTCGTACGCCCTGCTCGATCTACAGCTAGGGAAGTGAAAGGAGCAAGTTTTTGCTTGGCATGTTACTTCTACGGCAATCCCATGTCAAATTACTTACCATATTAACAAGTCATAGTTAAAATAACAAATATATGAACCATGATTCATTAACTGAACCATAAACTATAATTCATATAGAATTTGTGCAAACCCTAAAAATTACACTCTTATACCCTAAACCCTAAACCTCAACCCTAATCCTTTTTGATTTGCATACTTATGAAACTTATAAATTGATTCATTTTCATGATTTTTTTAATTTGTGTATATAATGTTTTTACCAAATTATTTTTCATAATTTTTAAAATTAGTGGTAAAGAAATTATAAGAAAGTAGACTTCTCCAAGAAGTCTACTCGTGAGAAGTCTACTTTAGAATCCGAGAAGTCTACTTAATATTGATTTCTAACCTAATTTATCTATGATTATTTAAATTGATTATTTTGTGTCAAATTTTATTTTTAATAGGTGTAAAAGTATATGTTTTTGTTATTTTGATAATTTTTTTACCAAATTATTTTTCATGATTTTTTTAATTAATAGAAAAGACATTATTAGAGAGTAGACTTCTCCGAGAAGTCTACTCGAGCTCGAGTAGACTTCTCGAAGATAAAACAGTAATTGCGGCGAACATTTTTTTGTTTGGTCAAAAGGGTCAATGTTGTAATTTCACTATCCTTATGAGTTATTTTTGTCAAACATGCAATAGGAGGTCTAGTTTTGTAATTCAAATCAAGTTTTGAGTCATATTCAGCAATTCCTCCGACATTTACCCAGCTTATATATCGTTTTTACTCTAAATAAATTTTGAAACATTGATGACTTACTAAAAAAAAGTATCATTACCATTCATACTCGTACTATATATCTAAATTAACAAAACAAATTTTAACTGATAGATTAGTAATCAGTAATATTACTCAAATCTAAATTAAATTAGTGGTTGTGCCATAAATTAAATTAATTGTATTATTAACTTATATCAAATGCAATATATTGTATTTTGACTAAAATTATTAATAAATTCAATTAGCCCAAATTAGATTATATTATATTATATATTATTTATTATATATTAAATTTTGGAAAAATTCTTAATTATTAAATTATTTTTAATTAAATAATTACATCTAAATTTATTACTGATTAAATTAGCTAGCTGTATATTTACCATATATCAAATTTAATAGATGTTTTTTTAGCAAAACAAAATAAATTATTAGTTAATTTATAGAATGTTATGATAAATATAAGATTTGTTTTATTAATAAAATTACAAAAATAAAATTGATTATATGATTTTAATATTATTTTATAAAAATATAGTTTTATAATTAGATTAATCCGTAAAGACAAGTCATAGAAATATTCGTTTAAAAAAATTATTTTTAATTTTATTCCCAATACTTAATACACATAGAAATTATATAAAAATAGATTAAATATTTTTTTAATTTAATATTGTTAATAAGTTATCCAAACTTATATATAATTGAGTTAATATTTATAAACCATTAACTTTTTGATCTAATATAAATTTTTTTTATATTTAAAAGCCTGATTAAATTATTAAATAATATATTAACAAAACGAATTAATTTTTTAACCAAGTTATTTTGTTTGTATAAATTAAAATTTTTATAATAATTTCACTTAATTAACAAAACTAAAATATTTATAATATTAGATTCTTTCAATATATTTAAATATATTTTATATTTCGAATCATTTAATTTTTTAATTTTTATTATATTTAAATATTTATATTATTTTGTTAATTTTATATGGTTCTATTAAAAACCATATTAAACCAAAAATACATTAATATGAATGTCAATTAAATCAAGCTTTTTAGTTTTTGCAATTTTTTTTATCATTTTTTTATTTTTTCCAGTCATTTTTGAACTATCTATTAATCTACACATCTTTATTTCTAATGTATGACATTTAATAAAACATACTTTTATTTATTAATAATTTAAATATTTTATTTTTATTTCTAAAAATTTCAATTATAACACATATATAAATAAATCTATAATTTTTTACTATATGGATGATATGATAATTTATTTATTTAACAAAAATATGTTTAAATAAAAATAATAGAAAATATATATTTTTGATAGAAAATATAATTAAAGAAATAATGAATATGATATATTTTTGATAAGATATAAAAAGAAAAAGAATATTTTACTACATTAAATGCTAATTTATATATAAATGAATGATATAAACTATTGTTTAATCAAATTAATATGAATAGCAAAACATGTAATTAATCTAGTAATATAAACCTATTTTTATATATTTGTTAAAAATGAATGTGGTGATGACTAAAATGATACCACTGTAAATATTTTTAAAAATAAAGTTAGTCTCTAAAAATGCTTTTCAATTATATAAAGGATTATAAAATTATAAATTAAGAAACATAAAATTTATTAATATTAATATATATATATATATATTTTTTGGTCGATATATATATATATATATATAATTCACTTTTGGCAGCTTTTTATAGTTTTTAGTTGGTTTAGTGGAGGAAAGAAGCGGTTTTTGTTTTAATCTTTTACGGTCTGGGTTTACTTAATAACTAAAATCTAAAATCTAAAATCGGGAGAGGAGACAGAGCAAAAAGAAAAAGAAAAAACGCCGTCGCGTAAAATGAGGAGACACCGATGCGTCATCGACTCCGAGACCAGCGAGAGTGGATCCGATGCCGATTCCGACACGGCGATGCGCTGCATCTCTTGTCGGGAAGAGTACCTTCCTCGCGATGCAGGCACCTGCAAGGAATGCTACGTTGAAGCCGGCGAAACTGAGGAAGAGCTTAAACGCGAGATCGATGACCTCAAAGCCAAAGTTACTTTCCTGCGCTTATCGTCTTCTCTCGATCATGGCAACAGCTCGAGGTCCTTCACTGACGTTGTTCTTATCGCCTCCGAAGACGCCGCCGGTTCACCTCCTATTCCTGCCCATAAAGCCGTTCTGGTTCGCTCCCTAATTTTTCATATGAGTTGTCGTTTGGGCGATTAATTTCTGCGATGAGTAATTTTGAATTGGAGTGCTATTTCTCTACCAAATGTTCAATTTGTGAAGTGTTTGATAGTTCTTCATTCAATTGGAAAAGCAAGTGTGTGTACATTGACGAAACCTCTGCAAATTAGGGACTTTATATGAAGCCCAGGCACTTGCAGGATACTAATGTTTGAATTTTTTTTTTTTGAAATTGTTGATTTTATTGGGCAATTGGTTTCTGTGATGAGTTTTTTTTTCTAAATTGCTTTGAAGTAGTTCTGCTTAACTCTAGTGTGTGTACATTAACAAAACATCTGGAAATCAGGGACTTTAAATGAGGCCTAGGCACTTACAGGATACTAATGCTGAAGAAAACTTGAATAGTCAGTTCATAATCATTTGATTTTTTTCTAAGATTGACTTGTAAAAATCTCTGTCCTTCCGTATCTGTTTGAAGTTCGTAAATAAATCCGTTATACTTTGCTTACGATGGATTATTGAATGAATTAGAAGCTGCAATCATATGGTATTGTGTTCAGTGAGTAAGTAGACTTCGCAAATCCACGATTTAAGTTCGAAGAAGAGCATTATTTCTTCCGTGCAATGATCTGTATTCGATCGCTTGTATGTGTTTCACATTTTATACCTATTTTGTTGGAATCCAATTTCCATCTTTTCCACCAATACGTGATGAAAAACCAGAATCTTGGCCTCTGTGTTCACTTTCTGTTTGATTGTGGAATGATCTGTCACATTTCTATGTATCATATACACTAAAAGCTGTGAATTTTTGCAAAAAAAACTTTTAGTGGAGTAAACTTTCCTCCACTCTGTAATCTCTTTTCCAGATGCTGACAGTGTGAATATCGCTGCCAGGTAAGTCGTTCGCCAGTGTTCAGAGCAATGCTTGAAAACGAGATGGAAGAGAGCCGTAGCGGCACAATCAAGATCACAGATATTTCTTATGACACTCTTCGAACTTTCATCTATTATCTCTACACAGCTGAAGCATGTCTTGATGAGCAAATGGCATGTGATCTTTTGGTCATGGCAGAGAAATACCAAGTGAAACATCTCAAGAGTTTTTGCGAGAAGTTTCTGGTTACCAAACTCAACCTGGACAACTCTCTCATGACCTATGCATTTGCCCACCAGCACAATGCAAAACATGTGCTTGATGCTGCATTGTCGCAGATAACAGAAAATATGGAAAAGGTTACTAAAAGAGAGGAATACATGGAGCTCGTGGAAAAGGATCCTCGTCTTATCGTTGAAATCTATGAAGCATATCTCTCGAAACAGGTTAACACGGCAATTGGGGGAACTAGCACGAGCAAAACTGGTTGAAGAAAGTCTAATTTTCTTATAAACGAGTTGTAATTTCTGGTTTCCCTATCATTGTTGGGTCGCAGTGTCTAGATGTGTTTTTATCTTGGATTCATGGCGTAAATGGAAAGGTGGTGGTTTGGTGGTTCAATGTGTTTTCTTGTTAATTGTCATTGTTTAGCTTTTAACAGTAGAGGTTTGTGTAGCTGCTGGTGTTGACAACAGAACTTGAATCTTTGTTTACTTCGATTTATTCTCGGAAAAACATCTCAAAGTTTTGATCTAACCGAGTGGTGGCACACTGCCTCCTATTGAGTGGTATTACAGTGCGTGCACGTGAAATAAAAACGCATGTTTTATTGGGTTGGAGACTCCGATTGGTAACCCATGTGTTAAAACAAATCGGTTTAAACTTTTTTTTGCGGAAACTCGCTACTTGTAAATCAGGTAACGAAATAGGTTTACAGAAGTTCATTTATATTTTAGAAGAAAAAAAAGAAAAATACATTGGAAATAATCTTAATGTTTTATCTTAACTATTATTTGAAAAGCAGGTATACTAAAAAAATTATTATGTATCAATCTATCATCATATCTATTACTAATAAAAGTTGATGCTAAATGCCTCTAAGGGTATCTACATAGGATTTAAAGATTCAATTTTATTGGTACACATCATCAATATCTTTAGTTAACTATATATTGTATATTAAAATTAATTAATTCGTTTTAATTGTTATAAGAAATTTTTTTAAAATTTAATTAATTTCGTTTTTGTTGTTATTAGGAAAGTTTCTAAATTTTAAGTTAGTTATTAATAAAATAGATTTTCAAAAATAGATCTTATTTTCTATTAACAATAAAAAGTAAATTAACAGATAAATATATTATGATTGAAATATCATATATATTGAACAAAATAATTAAAAACTATATTTAAAACCATAATTAAATTATTTTAAAATTTTAATCACGACATACAATTAAAATCTAAACTTCTAACTTAAAATATATTAGTTGTGGTCCGTGTTAATGTCTTAGGCCAATGAGATCGTCCACATAAGACATATATACTCAATCTAACTGGTCTATATTAGCGTTTTTCATTAAACATCGAAAATATTAAATATTATTAATAATTAATAATTTTAATAAATTAAAACATGAAAAATATAAAATGATCATAGTAGAATGGAAAATTAAAATAAAAAATTTTCAACTAAAAAGACAGATAAAATAAAATTATGTCAAAAATCCAAATCTATAACCTTTGTCAAAATAAAATGGAAACTCATTATCACAAAAACTAAACTAACCAAAACAAATATGTAAATCAATAACGAAAAAGTTAAATTAAAAAAAAAAAACATTTAGCATATATATTTTAAACGAGTAATTTATTTAGAAAATATATAAGATTAAATTTTAATATAAACATATAAAATTGTTATTTAAAAATACAGTACTACCAAAAAAACATTCATGTTAAATTAACAAAAGAAAAATCATCTGAAAATTGATATTTAGCGTAATTATTTAGAAAATTAACACAAATATTTTAACTAACCAAAAATGATATTTTAAGCTAACTGAAGAAAGCAATATAAAAAAAAATTTAACTAACAAAAAGCAAAACATAAATTATTTATTACCATATGTCAATACAATTAAAATGAAAGACCGTATTGAGAAAGTTAAATTAACAAATAAAAAGGGTATTAACTTGATATCTATGTTATTTATTTAACAAAATCAATATAAACAGAATAAGTAAGAGAATAAAAAAAATTAAGTAATACTAAAAAACTTAACTAATAAAAATAATATAAATATTTAAGCCAATTATTTAAGAAATTAATTAACTAAAAAATTAAAACGAAAATTAAGTTTTAAAAAATGTAATTTTTTTAAAAAACACCTAAAAATATATTGATTTGATATCTACTTAAGAAATCTATATAAAAATATTTAACTAACAAAAAGTAAAAAATACAATTATGTCTTCAAATTATCAATATTTTTAAAACAATTGTGTGTTAAAATAAAATAGAAATCAATATCAAGAAAGGTAAATTATCAAATGAAAAGTCGTATAAAATAAAATCAGATTGATAATTAGGCTGACTAACAAAAAACAAATTAACTAAAAAAAGCAAATTATGGTATAAGCCTTTAAGAGAAGTTCACATGAATTTTCGAATAACCAGTTATAGCATGTCAAAATAATATTTTAATTAATTTAAAAAGTAAATTTAACAAAGAAAATTTTTTTATCTAAAAGATATTCAATTGATATATATGGTACCTATTTAAAAAATCAATAACAAAAGAGATTAACTAAAAATATATATGTGTTTTATGTATATCAAACATGTAAAAAATTATATAATTAAAATAAAATATAAAATTACCATCAAAAATATTTAAAATAACAAAAAACAAGATATAAGAAGAAAATTAGTTTGAAATGTAGTTCAAGAAAATTCATGATTTCTAAAATATTTGTGTTGAGTATGAATAGCCATATAAAGTTATAGTATGTTATACAAGTTTCTAAATCAAACATATTATTTAAATTTACAAAGACTAATACCTTAGATGCATCTGGTTTAAAAACTAACAAAGAAAAATACTACACAAGTAACATTACATACAAAATTTAACAAGTAATAAAGTCTGATTTTTATACATAGTTACTGCTTATAACTTAGCCAACATGAACAACATCTTCTAAAATTTTATTTAAATAATAAAATATGACAATGCTATGAATCAAGTTCAAATTGGAATATATCTAGGTAAACTATTCAAATCAAAACATGCACAAAAGATTAAAAAAAAAACCAGTGATAATGTAAAGTCTCCACACCATCGTACATGTTTTTAAAAAAATTTAGCAAATAGTTGAATGCAAATAAAATAGATCTTATAATCTGAATAGATATATTACCTAAAATTCGTTAAAGATCTGGTAGAGAAGCAAAAAATAGCTTTACACGGTTTGTGTAGCATACTAACAAAAGTAAATCTGAATCAATATATATCATATATTATATATGTATAGGTACATAATATAAACGAGATATTTAGTAAAAAATTAAATATTTAAACATTGAAATTTTAAAAAAAAACTATAGAAATCCTAAGGACACAAAACAAAACACCAAAAATTTAGTAAGAAAATCATTTTCTAAATTAAACATATGCACATCGAAGTTGGATAATTCGTTAGGTGTCATTAATATGATTTTACATAATAATAAGATTTATAACTTTATAAACAAAAAATAGAAAAAATTACATATTATGTTTTAATTTTTTGATATAAAAGAAAAGTTATATAAATATATTATAATTTTGATAATTTAAAAGATATTAACCAAAAAAATAAAAACAAATTATTAATACAGACTCGCGCGTAGCGCGAATTAAAAGCCTAGTAATATATAAAAGTTGATGGCATAGTGCATTGAGGGCGTCCACATGGGATTAAAAAACTCGATCTGATTGGTCCACATCAGCATATTCATTAAATAAAAAAATGTTAAGTATGATTAGGACGGAAAAACTTGATTTAATTGGTCTACATCTTTTAAATCAAAACAAAAATTATTAAGTATAATTAAAACATTAAAAGTTAATTTAACAAATTATGTCCAACAAAAAAAGTAAATTTAATTTGATTGATCCAAATCAATATATTTATTATTCAGAAAATATTAATATGGTTTAAAATTTAAAAGTTAAATAAAAAAATAAACAATTAACAATACATGTATAAAAAAAAAGTAACCATTATCAATTATCAATTTAAAAAAATCTACAACAACTCGATTTAACATTTAAAACAATGAAAACTGGATAAAAATATAACATAAAACTCATGGAAGACATGATGGAGAAGGGAAAAATGGTTTTGCATGATCATTACAGCTTCCTAACAAAATTAAATGCGAATCAACATGAATCATGGATTATATATGCAGTGGTACACAACATCAATACGATTTTCAATAAAAAAAAAACTAAATATTTGAACACATAAACCTTCATGTGAAAAAAAACTATAAAAATTCTATGGAAAACAGAAAATAATACCAAAATCTTAGCAAGATTATATTTCTCAAAATCAAATATATATGTACGTCAAAGTTGAATAATTCGATAGGTGTCATTGTTATTATTTTACTTAATAGTTTTTTAAAATTTATAAATAAAAATAGGATAAATTACACAATATATATTAAATTTTCTTATATAAATGAAAATTTCTATAAATATATTATATTTTTCATAATTTAAAAGATAGTAGCTAAAAAATTTAAACCAAAATATTAATACAGACTCGTGCGTAGCGCGAGTTATATACCTAGTACTTTAAGAAAAATTAATGCAAAACAATATCATCTCATAAATTTGACATGGTAAATTTCTAAAATAAACAAAATATTTTTATTGGTTAAATTAAAACTAAATAGTGATTTTACTCAATACACATAAATATTTAGGTGAATAGTAACAGATAATTAAAAATTAGGTAAATAACAAAAAGAAATAATTTTTAAGGTCAAAAAGAAAAAGCAAGCTTATTAATTGTGCGGTCATTTCTCTCTCCTCTGCTTAGGTGATTTTTCCCCCTCAAATTTTGGTTTTTCCGTCGTAGTTTCATCTTCTCTGATCTCCCTCTCCGAAGTGCGGTGCTTCTCACCGCCTCTGTGGGAGGGACCGTCTCTCTCTCCTCTTTCTGTTGGCCCTCTTCTTGCTGGTTTTACTGTTGTTACCGGCTGTAGATCTTGAGTTCTTTGGTTGATCTAAGTCTTGTCCGCGGTGGTTTTGCACGGTTGGTTTGCTCAGGCTTTCCCTTTGCACCGTGGCTCCTCTTCCACTGTGAGCTCTGTAGCTGTCTGTTATGGGGTTTTTAGTCTTGGTGGCATCGCTGATGTCCGTGTTGAAGCTCTGAGGACAGCTCCAGCCGGTTCTGTGAAGCCTCTTCCCTCGGCAATTCCCTCCTTGTTGCAGCG